AAATTGTATGTTTGAAACTATATTCTTTAATTACCTAACAACAATTAAACGGCTATTGTTTATTTTTTTTAATTAATATGCATATATATTTATCATACTATATAAGAAAAAATTAATATAAATAAAAACAAATATTTATTAAAAAAAAAATATGATATGATACATTATTAAACAAGACAAGGATTAGAATTTGTGTTTGAATTGTGCTACTTAGCCAACCTCCATTACAACTTGGTTTACAACCAAGTGTAATGTAGCATTAGAAAAATATAAAAAATACTTTTTTAATGCCTCCATTATACTTGGTTGTAAACCAAGTTGTAATGGAGGTTGGCTATATAGCGTAACCCTTTGTGTTTTGGTGCATGTGACTACCACCACCACCGCACCCAGTAGTATCCTACCGTTACTGCGGATTCCGATCTCCTGCTGGCGTCCCCACCGCCTAACCCTACACCGTCATCACCTAACATCCACTCACATCACACACACACACACACATTTGCTGCGTCTGCGTGTCCGCCCAAAACTCACAATTTTTATGTCAATTGGCTGGCATATATATCCATAAAAGCAAATCATTCTCTTTTTCCCCCAAAACCCGCAAATCGCAAACCCTACACACCATTTTGCTTAACACTCTCAAGAATCTTTCTCCATTTCTCTACGCTTCTTCCTCTACTACTCTTTCTGGTACGCCTCTCTCTCTCTCTCTCTCTCTCTCTCTCTCTCTCTCTCTCTCTCTCTCTCTCTCTCTCTCTCTCTTGTACTTGCTTTTCTTTGCCTTGAGCTTTTGCATAAGGTATGTTTGAATTGACGAGCTTCTTCAGCCTTGAATTTTCAAGAGATCGGCGAATTTTTGGTGCCCTGATAATTTTTGTTTGGTTGTAAATGGTTGCTATATGGACTCGCATAATTTCTTTGTAGATGATTGTTGTCGTGTGTTTGATTGATGGGATTTAGGTTGGCCTAATTATTCAGCTGTGAGAATTTGAAGATGGTTTGTGTGCTGGCCGTTTTTTGATTCGTGTTTGTTTTGCTATCTATTTAATTGTTGAGTTCCTTAGTTGAATTGTGGAATTATGAAGGAATTTAATCTGCTTTTTTAATCTTGAATGATCTGAAAATGAAGTTATGTTCTTTTGTTAGGGGGTTAGTTTCTACAGTTATTTAGGTTTTAGTATGTGTTTGTTTTTTCATTTGTCGGTCTGTGGATGATCGCGGTTGAAGCTGTAGTTCTGCAGACGTTGAATTGTGATTGTGGGGATTCCATTCAATCTGCTTGTTTGTTAGTGAGCTTACACTGTGCTTGATCTATATATTTTTTTTTTCCAATTTCGTTAAAAGTAACTATTTTAGTCGGGTTTGATGATGGTGTCTGAATCTTATCAATGTCGGATGATGAAAAATAAAAATTAACTATTTTAGTCGTGTAACTTTTCGTTTTTGTTTTCCTTTGCCCTCTCAATCAGTGAAAGCACGTACAAAATGAGTCCTCACGAGTCGCCACAAAGGACCTTCCTCCCATTTGTAAACCCCTTCCGAACAATACTCCCCAAGGGGGACTCCCTTTCCTCCAAGCACCTCGATTTACTCAACACTTTTGAGGACACACTAACCGGCAGGCTCAGGGACCTGAAGCCCGCAAAAGGAGAAGAATTCCTTTCTCTCTCGTGGATGAAAAACGCAACGCGCACTCTGTGCGAAACCCACGCGGACATAAAAGTCCTCATCACGGCCCTCGAGCTGCCCGTCCGGGATTGGGACGAGAAGTGGATCGATATTTACTTAACCAACAGCATGAAGCTTCTCGACACCTGTCTCTCCTTCACCTCCGAGATCTCCCGCTTGAGGCGGGCCCACCTCTACCTCACGTGCGCCGTGCATGACCTTCGAGGCAGCGGCACTTCTCCGAAAAAGTTAACGGAGGCACGCTCGTCCCTCGACGAGTGGATTCGTTTCGTTGCCGCCAAAAACTCGAGGCTCGATGGGTGCAGAAGCATCTCGGTTATGGAAAGTCTCGCAAAAACCCTCGATTTCCCGAAGATAAAGAACTTCCCGAAAGGGAAAGTCTTAATGCGGGCCATGTTTGGAGTCAAGGTTCTTACCTTCTTCGTGTGCAGTACATTTGTTGCTGCATTCTCGGGCTCCGGGGAAAAGCTGATTGACATACGGGTCGTCCCTGAGGTTTACTCGTGGGCCGAGGCTTTTTACAATCTTCAGAATTTCGTGAATACGGAAATAAGAAAGGAGTTCACGGTGTTGAGAGAGGTGGAGAGCGTGTACTCTGTGGTGAATAAGTTGTACCCTCTTGTGCAAAACGGCGTTTCGGAGGAATCTGTCGAGGCTGAAAAAAATTTGATAAAGGTTGTGTCGGATTTGGAGAAGTCGACCGAGAAGCTGTACTCAGGGCTTAACGAGCTTGCGAAGGAAGTGGACGGGTTTTTCAAGGTTATTCTGAGCGGGCGAGATGCTTTGCTTTGCAACCTTCGGTTTGTTGGCGATGATGTTTCGGATGAGGTGCGGAGGAGTATGGGTGACGGGCCGGGCCAGGCCGTGAGGTGAGGTGATTGATGGTGTAAATAACTGTCAGTGGCCTTCGTGAAACGAGATGGAACTAAAAGGGTTGTGTTTTTGTGGCTGATTATATGTGTAAGTGGTGTTGAGATATGTGGATTTAGTGTTGTTAGTAGATCTTGTGATGTTTGGTTTGTTAACTGGGGTTGTTAATTGTTAATGAATGTTTGAAACTTCTATTTGAAGTACAAATATAAATATTATTTGTGTATTATTTGGATGCTTTTTTTCTCTGCTTTAAAACACAGGTTGCTGGACTCTATTTTACATGGTTAATCAAACTGGTGTTATGGGTTCTCTAGATTGTATCTGGGAATAATGAGAGCTAGTAAAGTTGTATTTAATTTTAGATTGATTTACAGAAATGGGAGGAAGAAGATAGAATTAGAAGAGAGGGAGAATAGCAGATAGGAGAGAAACGAGGGAGAGAATTGTGTAACTGCATAACTTGTCCTCTAGTGAGGAACATTTCTCATTTAAATATCGGTTCACATGGGCCATCAAAACCCTAGAACATAATAATACTAACTAACTGAGCTAAACAGAGGCCCAAATAAGACATAATCTGGTAACAAATAAGACATAATCTGGTAAAATAAATGCAATAACGTAAATGGCTAATTAAATAAATACTTCTCGGCCCAAATAGCGCCTGAGCCCAACTGAGCGGTTTTCATCTTATCTTCATCATCAACTGTTTCTTTACCCTTTTCACACAAAATGAACAGTTTCGCCGGCGACTCCCTTTCCCTCTTCACAATTTCTCATCTCCGCCCCTTCTTCACCCAAAAGTTCAGCCTTTTCTCCTTCAGTCACAACATTACCCCCTCCAAAAGACGATCCTTGTCCCCAAGGATCAAAAGAAGGAAATTTCTTCTGAATAAATTTAAGATCTTCCCAGGTGGCGAGCTCATCGGAACTGTTTTCCCACCGAACCAGAATCTGCTCCACCTCAAGGCCACCACGTTGTATGTTACGATGTGCTAGAACACCAGAAGGCCGTACCTGAAACAATCCCTCATCATCGGTAAGTGGCAAGGCCGACGAAGTGGGTTTTTCGGTGAAACCCTTCCTTTCAACAGTGACACGTGGAACACAGGATGGACCTTCGAACCTTCAGGTAAATCCAGTCGGTAAGCTACCTTTCCAATCCGCTCCAAAACTGTGTAAGGGCCAAAGTATTTTGATGAAAGCTTCAAATTTTTTCGGATAGCAACTGTGTTTTGTCGAAAAGGTTGAAGCTTTAAGAAAACTTGGTCACCAACATTGAACTCTCTCTCTTGTCTATGCCTATCTGCATATACCTTCATTCGATTTTGTGCTGCAATCAAGTTTTCTTCATGCCCTTCATGATGTCTTGCCTGTTCTGAACCATTTTGCTTGCATCTGCATCTTTTGAGTGTAAATAGGGTCCAAGTGACATAACTGGGGAATGGTAGCCATATAAGGCCTCAAAGGGGGTAGTTTTCAAGGCAGTATGGTAATTAGTGTTATACCAAAACTCAGCCAGAGGTAACCACTTAACCCATTGTTTGGGATTCTGGTATACCATGCACCTCAAATAGGTTTCCAAACACCTGTTCAATCTTTCAGTCTGTCCATCAGACTGAGGATGATAAGCTGAGGTCATGTCTAGGCTCACTCCTGCTAGTTTGAACAACTCCTTCCATAAGGTGCTTGTAAAGATCTTGTCCCTGTCAGTGACTATACTTGTAGGGTAACCATGTAATTTGTGTATGGTGTCAAGGAACACTTGTGCCACTGTTTGAGCTGTAAATGGGTGTGATAGAGCTATAAAATGTGAGTACTTGGTGAACCTGTCAATCACCACTAGTATCACATTCTTTCCTCCAGATTTGGGCAAACCCTCTATGAAATCCATGGATATGTGGGTCCAAGCTTAGTCTGGTACATGTAAAGGCTGTAGCAATCCAGGGTAGGGCCCATTATCTGATTTGTTCTTGATGCATGTGTCACATCCTTTTACCCAATTTTCCACTTCCTTCTTCATTTTAGGCCAGAAAAAATTCCCTTTAAGCCTCATGTAAGTGCCTTGAATTCCTGAATGGCCACCAATTGCTGAGTCATGGAACATTGTGAGGATTTGATTTTTAAGTTGTTGGTCCTCACCAATACACAATTTGCCCTTATACCTAACAAGGCCCCCTTCAATCTTGAAGTCTGGATAGGTAGCAGGGTTAATGGAATTTGCCTCTAATATCTTCCCAAAGAAAACATCCCCTTCATAGATTTTGAGCACTTGTTGGATCCATGTATGGACCACTGTAGTGATTGAACTGAGTTCTGCATTTTCCTCTGGCTTCCTTGACAGGGCATCAACTGCCCTATTTTCTGTACCCTTCTTGTAGTGAATTTCATAATTCAACCCCAACAGTTTAGTAAGCCACCTTTGCTGAATAGGAGTCATGATTTTTTGATCCAACAGATGCTTCAAGGCTTGTTGGTCTGTTCTAATGATAAATTTGTGCCCCATTAGGTAGTGTCTCCATTTCTGAATGGCCATCAGGACTGCTAAAAACTCCCTTTCATAAATTGATAACCCCTGGTTTCTGGGACAAAGGGTCTTGCTCATATAGGCTAGGGGTTTGCCCTGCTGCATAAGCACTGCACCCACCCCAGTACCACTTGCATCAGTCTCTAGAATGAAGGGCTGAGTGAAATCTGGCAGCCTAGCACTGGGGCTGTCACCATTGCCTCTTTCAATTTGTTAAAGGCCTCCCTTGCTTCTTCATTCCAGTTATAACTATCTTTCCTTAGTAGATTGGTGAGAGGTTTGCTTATAATTCCATATCCCTTGACAAATTTCCTATAATAGCCAATAAGCCCTAGAAACCCCCTCAATTGCTTGATGTTAGTTGGTTCAGGCCAATTCAACATACTTGTAATTTTCTGTGGGTCTGTTGTCACACCAAGTGGGGTGATGATGTGCCCCAAGTATTCAATTTCTTGTTGCCCAAAGTGGCACTTGCTTCTCTTTGCATACAACTTGTTCTTCCTTAGGACTGATAGAACTTCCTCCAGATGTTTAAGATGTGCCTCCCAGGTCTGGCTGTAGACCAGGATGTCATCAAAGAAAATTAATACATGTTTCCTCAGCGTTTCTCTAAATATCTGATTCATTAGGGATTGGAAAGTTGCTGGGGCATTACAAAGCCCAAATGGCATAACCAAAAACTCATATTGACCACTGTGGGTATTGAATGCAGTCAAGTGCTTGTGATCTGATTTCATTAGAATCTGAAAATAACCTGACCTCAAATCTATTTTAGAAAAATAGGCTGCCCCATGTAACTCATCATATAGTTCATCAATTACAGGTATATGATAGTCATGTTTAACTCTCAGGCCATTAAGATACCTGTAATCAACACATAGCCTCCAGGTGGAGTCCTTTTTCTTGACCAAGAGAACAGGTGATGCAAATGGGATATGACTGGGTTGTATGAAACCAGAGTCCAACAGTTCCTTGATAATTTTTTCAATTTCAGCTTTCTGGTCATGTGACACCCTGTAGGGGTACTGGTGTCTTGGTGAGCTGTCTGGCTTGAGTATTATCTGGTGTTCCACCCCTCTGGTTGGTGGTAGTTCCTTAGGTTCTTCAAACACATCCTGATAATCCAGAAGTAACCCATCTAACTCTGGACTGTGGGTGTGCACAGGGTTTAGTATGGTCATCCAGAATATCTCTTCTATGTCCTGCAATCCCTGTTCATGTACCATTTTGAAAAGAGTAGGTCCTGTGATCAATTTGCAATCAGCCAGACTAGTGATTGCTTGCAGTTTAATCCTCTTCCTCAATATAGTGACAGTGATTGTCATTTTGTTGTAGTCCAGCTCAATAGGTGTGCAGGCTTTAAGCCAGTCACCCCCCAATATCAAATCACACCCCTCATGCTGCAAAACTCTGAATGGGTATTTGAACTGGTGATCTTGCATACTCCATTCAAACCCTTCCACTACTTGAGAGCTCACCATCCTCTGGCCATTTGCCACCTTGACCAGAATGGGTTTAGCTGGTGATAGCTTACACCCTAGTTCCTTGGCTGTGTGCTCCCTGATGAAACTCAGGGTACTTCCTGAGTCTACTAGCACATGTAATTGGTGATTTTCTATTTGCCCACATAGCCTCATAGTTGTAAGTCCATCTTCCCCAGAAATGGTATTTAAGGACATTTGAATCTCATCCATTAAGTCAGTGCCAGGGGGCTCTTCTTCATTTTGAGGTTGTGTTTGTATATATGCCAGCTCTTCCTCTTCTGTCATCATCATGAAATTCACCCTTTGTTTGCACTTGTGCCCATAAGTAAATTTTTCATCACAATTGTAGCATAGTCCTTTCTCTCTCCTAGCAGCCATTTCATTTGTTGTTAGTAGTTTGACTGGATTTCTCTGTTGAACAGGAGGTGTGGGTTTGTTGGTATTGGTAAAGTTGTTCTCAACCCTCTTTGGTACTGCCACATGAGAGTAAGTATGCCTGCTTCCTGACCCTTTAATCTTCTTGGTAATTGCCTCCATGGTATTAACTTGCTTCCTGCCCCGCTCTATAGTCTGTTGTAGAGTATTAGGTTCAAACATGGCTATGAAAGCTTGAGCCTCCTCAGGTAATCCACTTATAAAGCTTGCTATAAAATAGTCCTCAGAATATCCACCCCCATTTAAAAGCAACATACAAGCCCTGAGTTCTTCAAACATGTCTACATATTCCCCATACGAGCTTGTTTGCCTTAATTTGTTGAACTCAACAATTATCTTGGTTTCCTTAAGGTCTTCAAATATGGCAGACACAACCTCCAAGAATTGTTCCCAACCAATGTCACTCTCTTTGGATATGAAATTTTGGTACCACTGTGCAGCTTTACCTTCAAAATGCATAGCTGCTAGAGTGACTTTCTGTTGATTGGGAATATTGGGTATTAATTTAAAGTACCCATTGCATCTCAGAATCCAAGCTCTGGGTTGGGTTCCATCAAACTTAGGGAAATCCACTTTAGGCACTGGATTGATCACATGTGAATTTGGATGATCAAATTGCAACCTAGGTTTAGAGAATTGATGAGATCTGGAGAACTGACTGTCGAACCCAAATGCTTGAGATCCATCACCCAGAATAGATTCCTCAGTAGGCCTCTTATCAATATTGAGGAGTTGCAATTGAATAGCTGCCAAGGTGTTACTGAGGTGATCATACTTGCTGTTTATGGTTGAGTTCATGTTTCCTAGCTGGTCTTTAACTTCGTCTGTGATTTGTGTCATGCGGTCTTGTAATTTAAGATCTGATGCTTCCCTTTTCATTGCTTTAGTCTGCACAATTTGATCTAACTTCTTTTGTGCTTCTTGTAGATCTTTGAATCGCGTAGCTTCAGCCATGGCGCCGAGGACCCAAGGCTCTGGATACCAAATGTTATGGGTTCTCTAGATTGTATCTGGGAATAATGAGAGCTAGTAAAGTTGTATTTAATTTTAGATTGATTTACAGAAATGGGAGGAAGAAGATACAATTAGAATAGAGGGAGAATAGCAGATAGGAGAGAAACGAGGGAGAGAATTGTGTAACTGCATAACTTGTCCTCTAGTGAGGAACATTTCTCATTTAAATATCGGTTCACATGGGCCATCAAAACCCTAGAACATAATAATACTAACTGGGCTAAACATAGGCCCAAATAAGACATAATCTGGTAAAATAAATGCAATAACGTAAATGGCTAATTAAATAAATACTTCTCGGCCCAAATAGCGCCTGAGCCCAACTGAGCGATTTTCATCTTATCTTCATCGTCAACTGTTCCTTTACCCTCTTCACACAAAATGAACCCTATCTCGACAGTTCCGTCGGCGACTCCCTTTCCCTCACTTTCACAATTTCCCATCTCCGTCCCTTCTTCACCCAAAAGTTCAGCCTTTTCTCCTTCAGTCACAACAACTGGATTTTATGTTTACCTGTGGTAAAATCTATGAGTGCCTCTTTTTCTCTTTCCCTAAATCGCCTCAATCGATGATCATTAAGAAAGGGATATTAATGATACGCGATAGATTG